ACTAATAGCAATTTTAACTAAAGTACATATAAATATTGGTTTTCATATATATATATATTATCCGCTAGTTTTTGAGTACAACAAGGAAGGAAAGGATGAGCTGTAATGAGCCATTTGATGGCACAGTCGTCAAACCCATACCCCCCCTAACAAATGTATGTGCAATGGTGTGCAGTGCCCTACCACCCAACCCAATAGCACCCATATCATCATCACCATACCGGGTCCTTTTTTAAAAAAGATAGGGGTCCTCTTTTTTGGACAAACATAATGTAATACACTTTTAACAAATCTATTCAATTATTTGGTAGAAATTTTTGTTGTTGTTGTCGTCGTTGCAGATGATGATAGTGCTGATGATATATATATATATATGACAATAGATTTAGTAATCAATTGATTATGTAATTGATATGTTTATTGAACAACAAAACATGAAGAAGAAGTAGAAGAAGAAGAAGACAACGAAGAAGTGGTAACAGAAGGAGGAGTAGAGATGCAGAAGAAGAAGAAGAAGAAGAAGAAAAAGAAAAAAACAAAACAAAAAATGTTATAAAAGTGATGAAACAAAAACAAAAATCAAATAGTTTTATATATATATATGATATATATGTATATATGTTTCAGTATATTATATATATATATATATATATGTAATATATAATTGTCTCTCAGAAGTTGTGTGAGTTCTTTAGCCCCAATTTGAAGGTCAGGGAGTTAGCAGTTATATACAGTACACATACATACAGATTGCTCTTTGCTTTGCTTTTTTTTTTTAAATATTTTATTTTACTGGTGGCAGTTCTTGTCTGATGTGGCGGTAGGCAGTGGCGTAGCACCTATACATATACATACACATCATCATCATCATAGGACACAGTGGCCAGCGCGGTAGCGGCCGCGGCAACTGTTGTATCAGCACCTGTGCCAGCGAATTCATTATGTGAACACACGTGTGGATATACGCGAGCGCGCGCGCGTGTGTGTGTATGTATGTGGTTATAAGTTTAGGAGGAGGCGGTGGCCTACGGTGCCAACCGGTGCTCATACACACACCGGCTAATTGATGAGCTGATTATGCCGGCTACGCAACTGGTAGTAATAGTAGTATTAGTAGTAGTAGTGGTGGTGATGGTGTTGTGCTCCGGTGGTACATCAGGAGTTCAATGACTCTGTATTACAACACACATACGACTTCTATACATACACATAGAGCTACTCCTAGATATCTAGCTCTCCTCCTATGGACACATACTGTACATACATACACACGGCATCAGACACACACACACACACACACACACACACACACACACACACACACACACACACACACACACACACACACACACACACACACTGTGACCAAGTTCTCAGTTTTTTCAAGGCCTGTCCTGCAGCTAAATCTTTTGCCTCATTTTTTTGAATCACCGCATCTCTCTCTCTCTCTCTCTCTCTCTCTCTCTCTCTCTCTCTCTATACCAACAAAAAATAAAAAATCTTCAATACTAACAGCATATCTTCGCCCCCGACACTACAGCCAAAACGCTTTAGCGCACACCTCGTATGCCATACCACTGCTACTACAACAACTACTACTACTACTACTGTATACGCACACATCAGACTACTCGTAGATATTATTATTCAACAGCAAAAAAAATAATAAATAAATACCTGTGCTTTTTTCCTACTGGTGAAATAACTTATATATTATTATTATAATTGTGTTCACACTCATCCACACACACACACACTCACTCACTCACACTCACCAGCACCGGGACTAACCCCGTATATAACAGTATGCATGTGTGTGTGTGTGTGTGCGATAAGAAAAGAGAGGACAGTTTTTCGGATGTTTGGTGTTTAGTTCAGTCAGTCAGTCAAGTCATTTAGATTTATGGGTACGATCTGTGCGCTAGAGATGTCAAATGGTAAATGTCATACAAAATGCCAACTGTTTGACAATTTATGCCCAAAAAAAATAAAATAAATAAAACCTTAACCTCTGTCTCTATCGCCAATAACTGACTGACTATTTTGTATATTGCAATTGTATATGTATTGGGGACTGTTATGTCTCTCTCTTTCTCTCATAGACTATGTGTTGTTAATTGCAATGTTTTAGTGTTAGAAAAAAAGTAGTGCTCAACAAAAATAAAAAGTTTTTTTTATTTTGTTTATTTGTTGAAACTTTTTTCTGACCAAAAATTATTTTAAAAAAAAAAATAATTGATATATATTTTTTGACTAAAAATTTGTGTTCAATTCATTTTTATTATCAATTGTTTTTTTATGTGTTTGTGTGTCTGCAATAAAAAAAAGTGGTTAATATTTTTTTATATTCAAAAAAAAATAATAATAAATAATACTATAATAATAATAACAACAAGTGTTAACCGTAATTCACTATTTTAAGGTAAGCTTTTATTTTTTTAAAAAATAAATTTATATTTATCATACAGGTATATATATATATAACTTTACATATAATATTACATAATAATACTGTATAATAATAATAATATATTAGACATTTCAATATTTCTATTTATTTGTATTGGTTTTTTTGGTGATTGATTTATGTTTGTATATCAATATATATATATATATAAAATGCTTTCACTACTATTATTTTGATGATAAGTCAATCATTTTTCAATTTATTTATTATTATATTTTATATCCTTTATTTTGATTGAAGAAAAAATAAATAAATAAATTCTTATATAAAAAGTTTTTGAACTTTTGCTATAACTTTAAACTATAATAAAAAGGCATTTCTAATCATTAAAAATAAAATAAAATGACTTTTTGTTTGTTTAATTAATATTGTTATTTCTTTATACATATAAATATATATAAGTTTATATATATACTGTATTATATCTCATGTTTTATGACATGCAAGCAATGAGTTTTATATATCTAAAATGTTATAAAACAAATAATTTTTAACTTATATACATATAACTTATATATGGTATAAGTATATATATATATACAATATATAATTTATATATACATATTGTATATTGACTTTTAAGTAATGACAATATTTAGGCAAAAAAAATATTTTCATAAAATAAAGTTAGCAATTGATTGTCAAATCTAGACGACTGAAAATAAAATGTTTGGTAAAGAAATACCTCAAAAGTTCATACATTTTATAAGTACAGTATTATTATTATTGATATTATCAATAAATTACAATAGGATTAATATGTGTATTAAAAAAAAATATATATATACAGTACAGTATTTAAGATTAACTATAGCTAAATAAATAGAGAGAGATGATAGACATGGATTATTTAGTATATTTGTTTGTTTGTTAGCACAGGGATGCATTGGGATTGTTAGATATATAGATGAATGGATGGATGTATGGATGGGTTAGGTAGTTGTGTAGCATTACAGCAATACATGAATCCTTTAGTTTTTTTGTTGGTGGGTTGTATCTATCAAATAGAGTCGTGTGATTACATAATATTTATGTATACCCGGAGTTGTTGTTGACTATATATATATATATACAGTATTTAATATAAATGTATTGCAAATTTTGTTGTTGTTGTATATTTTATGTGTGTGTGTGTGTGTGTGTGTGTGTGTGTGTGTGTGTGTGTGTGTGTGTGTGTGTGTGTGTGTGTGTGTGTGTGTTTGTGTATGTATTATTGAGTACTGACTTTATAAATACTGTATATTTGATTTTGACTGCGCAAAGCATTTTTCGCTAATATATATATATATATACTGTATATTATATAATATACAGTATATATGTATATATATAAAATACTAGCAGTACATATCTAACTCAAGCAAAAAAAAGCCAGTTCCCCAGGCCTGTGGAGTATATATACTATGATGTGTATGTGTGAGAGACAAGTGCATAACACAACCATCACCACCAAAATGTATTGAACATACAAAAGTCACATAACATGTTTAGACTTTGTCTCTATACATATACAGTATATAAATATATATATATCTCTATCCCTTTTTTAATTTTGTATTTAATATATTAATACAAATACTGTATATATATGTCTATGAAAAACGCAAAAAAACCAACAGTTTTTGTTTTGTTTTAGTTTAGTTTGTTTGGTTTGTTTCAATAATATACAGTATATTGCATTTAATTGTTGATCAATACTGTATTAGCTATCATCTCATATATACTGTGTGTTTGTGTGTACAGTATAATGCTTTTCCTATTATTATTATTATTATTATACATTCATTCATTGATTAATTAAAGTGCTTTATAATAACAATAAAAGTTATTTTTTTAAAAAACAATTTTATATAATTATTAATTGACTATTAAGTTGTTTAAAAAAAGTTGTTTTTTGTTTGTTTCTCTATCACTGTTTTTTTTGATAATTGCAAATCATATTTAGTATTTTTTGTGGTAATTTTATTTTAGTTTTAATCTCAACTTCAACTCAACTTTATGTTGTGTTTTGACATTTTTGTGTATTAAAAGAGATATACAGTATATTTATATTTATATATACTGTATATATATATACAACTGTTGTGTTGTCTAATCTAATGAGACAAAAAAGTTGACAAAAAATTTTTGTTTCTCTCTCTCTCTCTCTCTTTCTTTCTCACACATAACAAGTGCTCAATTCAATGAAAGACATCAATTGTTTTTAAAAACCAATCAAAAAAAAAAATTTGATTAAATAATATATATATATATATTTAAAAACAAAACTAAATAAATTTGGAGTCAAAAAAAATCTGACAACAAAAAAAATTATTAAATATATTATTATCAACAAAAAAAATATTACTATACTGTGTGTGAAAATTTATAGACAATTTTTATTTGATTTTATTAATGTGACATTTTTAATATAATAAATAATAATATTTTGTTGTTGTTGTTGTTTAATATAAATAATATTTGCAATTAATTATTTTTTTGGGGTTTATTTTATTAAAACACAACAACAACAACAACAACAATGATTATCTCAAGAGATTTGTTTATATTGGGAGACGAGTACTTCTCGGTTACCTCAAAGTCTAGGTATTTAAAGTTATATATAATTTATATATATATATATATATATATATATATAATAGATATAATCTTAAAATAAATATAATTTTATATACAATTATATATATATATTATAAATAATATAATGTATTTATTATTATATACTTTAAGTTAAGTTATTTAGATAATTATTAAATTTTAAAAAAATTATTATTAGTAGTAGTAGACATATGACAAATAATTAGTATATATATCCGATATCCGATTGTTATATACCTGTATTTAATATATATATATAATATAAGTCAATTTATTTTATTTTTTAAAATGTGTGTGTGTTTTAACTAATGTGTGTTTTTTAATGGCATAAATAATAATAAATTTTTTATTAAATACGGTAAGTGTGTTGTGTGTGTGTGTGTGTGTGTGTGTGTATGTATGTTATGTCATATACATACTGTATATGTTTGTTGGCTTCAAACAACAACAAAAAACTAATAAATAATTTTGTTGTTGTTTTGTATAATAAAAAAAACCTTTAAAAAAGTTTTTTCTTTTTTTCTTCTCTTCTTCTTCTTCTTCTTCTTCATTCTACTACTTCTTCATCTGTGATGTTGTTGTTGTTGTTGTCGAGGGGTTTAACGCCTTTTGAGTCTTGTTTTACGAGTTACTCCTACTTTTGATAGTTTTTTTTAAAAAAAAGTTATGATATAACATACAAATAACCCCATACCTCAAATACCCCTATACCTCTTTTTTTATATACACATCCCATACCACTTGTATAGTAGTGGGTATGGTATGTATATTACCGATTGAGTTGCATAGCCAGCAGCATATTCTCTCTTTCTCTCTCTCTCTCTCTCTCTCTCTCTCTCTCTCTCTGAAAAATATACAAAAAAAAAGTTGCATTAATGCAGTTTTGTTGCCCTAGTAGTAGTAGTAGTACTAGTATTAGTAGTGGGCACTGGCATATGCATGACATGACACCCGACCGACCAAACCACTGGCTCACTGGTGTGTCTGTATGTATAAACATAACTAAGCCATATTATCGTTCATAACCCTATGCCCTACACCATCAGGATAGACACCCAGTGCCCACTACTACTACTACTACCCCAGTACCCCGGTTTTTGTTGTCTAGTGTAACAATTTTGTTGTTTTCTGTAGCAATTTTTATTGTTAATTATCGTTTAAATTACGTGACTTTAATGGCACTGATTTTTTAAAAAATAAATAAATAAATAGTTAGTTAAGTTTTATGGCCACATAATTATAATTATAACCCAAACAAACAAAACAACAAAAATAATAATACAGTAAAACTTATATATGATTTTTTTTTAGTTAGTTAGCCATCAATGGATTTTAGGCTTTTATGTCTCTAAGAAAAAAACAACAACAAAAATAATAAATAAATAAATTTTTTAAAAAATTAAGAGAAAACACTTAAAAATGTTTTACAATTATTATTATTATACTTAGTATTGCTTTTTGTTGTGTGCTTTTCGTTTGAATTTTGTTTTGTTTGTTAGAAAATAATCAATAGATGTGATGATAGCCTTTCAGGTGTGGAGAAAGAGAGAGAGAGAGAGAGAGAGTAATAGTAGTAAAAGCAGAGGAAGTATACTAAAAGAAGCTTAAGAAGAATATTACAGTATTTTCTTTCAATATTATTATTATTATTGTGTTGTATGGTCTCTGGTATGGTATGGTATGGTATGGTATGGTATGGTATGCCACTCACTCACACCACTCCCCTCACCACTCATTCATATAGATTTTTTTTCGGTTGTATTTTACGAGTAGTTTGTGTGTCATTTTTCTAAGAAATGCCGGCACCGGTAGTGGTGTGTGTGTGTGTGTGTGTGTGTACTACCCATACGAGTCCAGTGAACGAATTGACGAGACAATCAACAGTAGGGCACTGGTGTTTGACATACATAAGGCCTGAACACAACGGGCATATCAACGGCTCCGGCATATCAACAAAAAAAATCAATACAATAAACCCGAGACCTCAAGTCCTTCACCTATTTTCTTCAACTTCTTTTATGTCCGTTTTTGTGTGTCGTTCCTCAATATATATATTTAAGAAAGCTATTGATATCGACCAGTGCTCTCTCTCTCTTCTCTCTCTCTCTCTCTCTCTCTCTCTCTCTCTCTCTCTCTCTCTCCTATTCAGTTTACATTACGTATATACCTGTATATATATATGTTTGCTATTATATTGTAATGCATTATATTATATTATATATATATTGTATTTGCTTTTTGCAATACAGTATATGACAATCACATACCACCCCATACTTTCCCTTTCGTTTTGGAGGGTCGATGACCGTCACCACTCTCTCTCTCTCTCTCTCTCTCTTTCTAACTCTGGTATGCAATTCAATACACGTGCACTTACACCACTAGCAGTTACTCAATACATATACAATAATTTAATATTATATAAAATTAATATT